TTTTACTATTACTATAAAATATAGAAAAAGATTTGTAATAAGATGCGGTTCGCACCGGAATCAATATTGAAATTGGCCCACATTCTACCTATGGCTTGCAATTCGGATATCCAAATATTAGTTTTATTCCAATATTTCGAATAATATGTAAACAGTTTAAAAACAACTTTCGTTAAGCGTTTTAAAGATATAAGTCGCAATACAGTATTATTTTATGTTAAAATACATATTATCTTTCAAAAACTCACGGAACAGCTTTGTAATATCGTATAATGAAATAAGTGTTAGCTTGCTTGTCTGCGATTCGGATCGCATTCGCGTTGCGGTCGTCTGGAACTCGTCCACCGCACCCTGCCTTACGGGTCATCGGGTTTACCTATTATATCTATTTAATTTCGTTATAAGTTTACTTACATAAGTTATAAGTATTAAGTCTACACAGTTCCGATTAGAAATGTTGACATCGGGTTTACCTATTATATCTATTTAATTTCGTTATAAGTTTACTTACATAAGTTATAAGTATTAAGTCTACACAGTTCCGATTAGAAATGTTGAATATCTAGTTAGTCATAACGATGTTGCGGCAGCTTTACTGACTTTTATACAGTTATAAATTGTAATACTGCGGTTCTATCATGACACAGTCCATAAAATGAATAAACGATAGAATTTTAACTTTTGATACTTATAAACAACCTTTATATCAATTTTGAGATTACGTTTACCCATTATGTATTGTATGCTTGTTTTTAGGAAAGACTCGCAACTTCTTTAAGCTCAAAATTGCCAACTTAGAAGAAAATGTACCTGTAAAGGTACCTGGCCAAGTGAGGATTCAAAGATTTCTCACAGATGGCGCTGCGTCAAAAAGCCGTTAAAAATAAAAAACAAACATTGACAACGAGCACGTAGAGAAATTTGTAAAGTCTACTTACTAGTTTCGTAACTCAGTTGGGAGAGCGATAGCCCCGGCTTAATGAAAATGTCGCAGGTTCGAGTCCGGCCAGACTGAAGGAATTTTTCTCTGTTATCGTTCGATATTTGTATCAAACGTAACAACAAAATAGTGGAATATGTTCACAAAAAAATATATCATACTAGTAAAAACATCATGATTATCAATCAAATTCAATAATATAACATAGCAAATCTGTGGGTATGTTAAAATAAAAGAAAATTTTAAAACTACGCTTACATATTTATAATTTGAATTTGAAAATGAAATTGCCTAAAAAATTCGTTGATGTTAAATGTTTCTTTGAAAATTTTCAATAATTAGCAAAGACGTGCTTAATCCTTAGATACTATTGATGTTTGTATGTTAGTAGAGCTCGTTGTGAAAGAGTCTAGGGAAGTACTGTACTGTGTTTCGGTTTGGAAGGATAAGGGTGCTGGTGAAATTACAGGCACATGAGACTTGTCAATTTATGATTCAGGGTGACGTGCGTGGTGTCAGTGCCCCACAGATCTTTGTGTTTTAAACAGTGCAACTGTTATGGATAGGCGTCTCGCTTACCACCAGGCGCACGACTTGTTCCTTCCGTCACTTAGTATCATTTAAAAAAGTTAGCGTGTATGAATGTGCGTGCGCGTGCGTGCGTGTGTACGTGTGTGTGTGCGTGTGTGTTGTGTGATTTATGATTGTGAGATTAGGGGTAATCAACTAAATACCTAAACAATGTTCCAACCAATTTTTAAATATCACATTCTCATGAATCGAGAGAAGTTGCACAATTAATGCAATAGGACGCGGATTTGGCGAACCGGAACGTAACCTGTTTCTTTTATATAATCTCGAAACTACATAGTATCATGTATGCATTGTACGGCTGTATAGTTGCTATACGTGTGTAAAATCTGGAAAACTTACTCAACTTGGTTAGGAGAACCATACTGTGATACTGAACTATCACGTAAATGTGTGAAATGCAAAACTATATACATAATGACGTAGTGAGAAACTGTAAATAGTACAAAGATCGCAGTTCATGTGGTCTACACTAAAGGTCTGGTTTCTGCAATTAGGTCTTGTAAACCATAATCTGTAACCACTAGGCTTTTGTCGGATTTTTCCAGTATCTATTTGAGATATGCAGACAACGGATAATTTGTGTTAAATCTATTCATCGGTTGCTTCATATAAGACTTAAAACTTTACGCTTTAAACATGCAATACAATCAAGATTTTTTGTACAAATAATCACTAACATGGCAATTTTCCGAGCCTCTAGCCTATGAGTGTGTGGGTAATTATTATTTTTATTTTCCCCAACAACAAGGATAAGAAACGGATTTGTTGCAGAAAATATTTTATGTTGAAAGTAGAAAATATGTTCTTCGGGAGCATGTTATACTCATTGTAAATGTTCAAAACTTCACTAAAATTATGAATCAGTTTTTTTCCAAGCATTCGTTCAGTTTCCGTCGCTATTTAACCGATTGTACAGTGAACAAAATGCACAAGAATACTTTAAAGCAATGTGTTTGGACTTGCCCCGTAGACGCACTTCCCAGCGTCGACCGAGCAATTTCTATATTATGCTTTTTTTATAATACTAAGCGACGAGACGAACAAGTCGTGTACCTGGTGTTGCTGTTTACGTATTGTGGGAAAATATTAATTAAACGTACCTTACAAAAGATTCTACCGCCTCAAACGTATGGCAAAGTTCTTACTTTTAAAACAAATTGACTGTCATGTCTCTCAAATCATAAACGACTTTAACCCGACTTGCTTTTATAGCCACAGTAAAATCCCGGAAAAGATAAGAACAATCACCATAAAAGACAGTATGGAATTTCGCTGCACAATTTCCACGTGTTGCTAGTCAAGAGAACTTCAAAGTCTGCTTAATGCTGTGTGGGAATTGACCCGCGAGTAAGGTCAGACGTGTATGAGGCTCACCTGTCAGCCTGCAACATATTGTAATGTAACGGTCGACTCAAATATTCAGGGTACATAGTACTCGAAGTTACGTGATATGAGTTAGATAATTTTGTCGACGCACCGTGAGACTGCCTTCATTTACCTCTTGAGAAAGTTGTCCACGACAGGCTACTCATGTATACTGCGACAAGTTGACAGCACAATGTAAAACGACAGCAATATAAAACAAGTATAAAACAAGATAGATAAAATAAGGAAGTAAATAAAGAGTCCAAATTTATCGATAAAAATTATATTACGTTTTTAATTTTGAATCTCTCGTTTCTGTTCACTACGGATAATCACAGGTAGGTGGTTATTCACTTCATAGCTACTTCAGGAGTAGGTCGTGGTGGAGATCACAAACATATTACAAACCTAATCCTTATACGGTTGTGACGATAGGCGTGCACGCACGGTTGGCTGCGCTCCGGCGCCACCTGTCGACCGTTGAACTCGCCAATCTGTACGGTCATCTGGTACGGTAATTAAACTCTGTTTTCAATTTTGGCGACTTGTTTTTTTTTTACTTTTATCTTGTGTTATATCTGTCCACTTAAAATAACATCAAAAACGTGCTCAAGGCTTCAAATTTTCAAATATTTAATAATTCTACATTACTTTTTAACCGACTTAAAAAAAAGGAAGAGAATTCAATTCGGCTGTATGTTTTTTTTTGTATGTATGTTACGCGATAACTTTTTACGTAATAAAATGTATGAACCGATTTAGATGATTCTTTTTTGTTCAAAAGAGGGTACCTCAATAGTGGTCCCATTTTAATTTGAAGAAAATATTCCACCTCTAAGAGTGGTAAAATAGATGATGAATCCGTTTTCGCGCTCTTTCCGTAACCGATTTCAATAAAACTTGGCAAATAGATATAATTCCAGGAACTTTTGATGTCGATTTTTTTAGTACTCTGTACTAAGATTATTACTTATATTATTAAGTACTTCACCTATTTACGTTAATAGACTCTCCTAATTAACTTTCAAAGAAAAACGCACTTCGAGAAAGCAACAAGTGTTTAGTGTGTTATTTAGTACCACCAAGCATCAGGTGGTTCTTTATAGGCAATACGCTGAGCTCTTGTACGACTATAACTTGAGAAATGTGCGTTATCAGTACTTAAGTTGTTAGTAGTAGACCAAAAACATAATGCCGAAGAATACCATAAAATTCATACACAATGCGGCTGTCAATTTCGCGTTTTGGGCGAATTTAAAATTCAATCAACCTATACGTACTTATTTTAAAGCATTTGCACTTTATTACCATAACTAAAAGGACACAACCTTTTCTTTTTAATTTAGAGAATGCTCCATAATATTACATGTATAATACGGATTTCAATCACAATATTCACAACATCATCAAATTCATTACTTAAAATTGTGACTGTAAGAATTAAAATTGTTGTTGCAATCTCATTGTGCTTGATCGGTTCGGATGGAAACAATTTACATTATCACCTTACTTAAACAACATCTTGCTTATTTCATATCCCCTAAATTACTTTAGGGGTATTAAAATTTGACATTGAAACTGAAACTTAAAATGAAATCTTCAAACAAAACTAATATAATATAATAAAATTTCAATTTAGTAAGCGTTTATTGAACCCTATTAACCGGCGTAATGCAAACCGGAGAAAATACCTCCCTATCATTGTTACTGTACTATTACTACTATTATTATGTTATGTTAATGAGTATTGAGTTATCGTTACGTGGGCAACAGCTTATTGTTTGTTGTGATTTTATGCATGATTCATCGTTACCGTAAATCTGTTCATTACACCTACCGTCTCCTACATAAACTGGGCCAATTGATCATTGTCTAGTAAATTATTGAATATTAATTAATAATGCATATGAAATCATTGGAAAAGAAGCTTCCTATAAAGATACGTTTTAGCAATATTCGTTCCTCATTCATTGTTTGATAATATAAAAAAATGTACATTTTTTAATACACTTAGCACCATCTAGCGTTTGTTAGTAGTATCTTATAAATAAATTATAATAAGGTGTTGCATATTGTAACAATGATTGTTAATTGTTCACAGGTGACAATGGCAGTACCCATGCCTTATACCTCGAGACGATAGTCGAAGAGACCAGCGATGATTTGCGCTCCGAGCGTTCTTCTGCCGCCACCTGGCTCTCTGACTCTGACGCCGACTCCGTCATACACGTGCGGGGCACAGCTGGTAACGATTCATGTTCAGTTTATATTTTAATAAAAGGTAGGTTGCATTTCTACACTTGCGATATTTATATATCGTTATATTATATACTGTTATTTAAATTTTAATTACGTTTAGGTGAAAAATTAAACGTGCAGAGAGCGCCATCTAACGGCGAGTAGTAAAACTACGTAGTTAAACGTTTTGTCTTCTGGTAGTGCAGTTCGTGGCTTTTACGATAGAGGACGTTGTAAAATAAAAAGTAAAATATTAACCCGATTAAATTGAATTTATTCTAAATATGTTTTAATTATAAAAAAAAATTGTGACATTTCATATTCTTCATTAATGTGCATCATTCATGTTTCCACGGTTTTTGGCAGCCTATCAAAGTAGGTAATTTACTCATGATGTTGGACAGCAGCCAAGATTTACTTTATAAACACAATTCTGTGCCATTGTCATTACCCGCGTCTCCGACTCGGGGTCGGCGTGCGTGCGTTTAGAAAAGTTACTGGTACTATTGCACTCGACCTGCAAAAATTGTTTTGTCACCAGGATCGGAGTGCGATAGCGAGTCAGAACGCGAGTGGGCTTGCCCGGCCAAGCGGCGGCGGCGCGAACGCGGGCCCTCACCCGCCAGCTCAGGCTCGCTCTCACGGTCCTCGAGCCTTGCGCAGTTTGAGTCGCTGGAGAGATCGTGTGCCGCACCTGCTTCGCCCAGCCTCTCGCCGGATTCCCTGGAGTCGCCTCCAGCATCGCCGCCGCCAGTTCGACCAGCCGCACGCGCGCATCTCTCCGCGGAGAACCTCAGCGAGGACAGCGGGTACAGTGAGCGCGCACGCCGCCCGCCTCCGCCCTCGCGTCCGACCGAAATAGCGCGCCGCTCCGCCGCGCCCGCCGCCAGCACGCCCTGCCTCGTCGCGCCCGACCCCAGTTCGGAACCCGCGGAACGGCGCCCGCCCCGCGCCGCGCGCGCGCTCTCGCTACCCGCCGAGCTCGACGTCTGCACGGAACCCCAACGCCACGCCGTGCACAACGCGCGCTTCCGACAAACTTTCGAAGTAGCAGATTGCTTAACGGTCAGTGTGGCGGATCTCACCGCGCTCGACTATCGCGGTGGTGCCCCGCGGCGTCCACGCCTGCCGCCACCACCGCCACCTCCGCGCACCCATCATGCACACCCAGCGCATCCGCCACCGCCGCCTCCTACCGACATTCCTCGGCTGCCCCCGTCTCCACCGTCGCCGTCACCGGCGCGAGAATCCAGCGTCGGCAGTGATTCCACTACAGAATCTGAGCGAGCATTTGCCCGCGAGATGGAAGCAACGGCGCATCGCCTCGACGAGACGGCGCGACAAGCGCTCGCGGACACCGGCGCCTACGACCGAGAACTGTCTGTGCTGACGGCGCGGCGGCTGCAAGACTCATGGGGCGTCTGGGACGACGTGCTCGACGAGCTACGACGACGTCTAGAACCTTCCTCGCCATCCCCGTCACCCCCCCGGACTCCCTCGCCGGATCCTATAAGGGAACCGGTATTTACGTCGACGCCGTTGCGCTCCGGAGACGCTCGTGTGAGATCCACACCGGAATTACGAGCTAGAGCTACACCTAATCGTGAAACACCAGAAGAGCTTCGAGCATCGCTGCAACTAGTGGCACCACCGCCTGGTGCACCGCCCGCGCGTTCAGTGTCAGCGGGGTCGAAGGGTGTGACATTCTCACCTGTGGTGGCGGAGGTTAGTTGGCGCGAGACTAGCGCGAGCACCACAACAAGCGAGAGCACGACGACGGGCAGCGACGACGCGAGCGACGCGGAGGTGGTGGTCGTGGAGGGGGGAGGCGAGGTCTCGCGCGCGCCGGCCGCAGAGCGCGCTACCGCCATGACGGATGCGGGCGCGCGTGCGCCGCGCAGTCGCATAGCCGGCTTCCTCTCGCGGTTCGCGAATTTCCGATTCTCGGGGCGGAAAGAGAAAAAGTCCCGGGGCGCAGGCGCGCCAGCGCGGGTGCCGCTGAGCCAGCCGGCGAGTACGACGACGGCAGACGCGGGGCAGGGAGCGCGCGCGGCGGCCGCGACGCCGCAGTATGTGCGCATCCCGCTGAAAGAGGAGGGTGTGTCGCGGGCGGCGGCATCCCCCGTGGCGGGCGGCGTGGCGCACAAGCCGCCGCGGCCGCGCCCGCCGCCCGCTCCGGCGCCCGGCGTGCTCGAGACCGACGTGGACACGCAGCGCACGGTGCTGCACGCGCGGAGCCTGCTCGCGCTCGCACCGCCCGACCAGAGCACCCCGCGGCCCCACAAGTCCATGGAGTTCCTGCTCGACAAAGAAAGCGCACAGACTGTTCAGGTGAGTCATATTTTCTCTTTGCCGGCCACCAACTCTCTTCCACACAGCGGACGCGCAATGTTTACAAACAGCCCGATCGATGCCGGGCGACGACCTTTGCGGCAAACACAACTCTACCTTAAACTAACCCCCAATTCACACGTCTGAATCTCAATTCGCTACTCAAAAATGCGATCTGGGGAAAAGTAAACTCTGTTGACGTGACTCCGTTACATATGTCTTTGAAATCACTAAACAAGCTACGCGAGTCTGGTCATTCTAAGTAGTATTGAAAGCACATTCGTCTCAATAAATAATGCGCCAGTTAACTAGGCAATAAATTATGAACGTCCCCTTACTATTCCCGGGAGGGACATTGCGCCACGACCGCATTCACACGCCATCCATTTGCGCGCAGGACGGAGGTGAAAGTGCGCACATCTGCCCGCCGTCACCGGCTATTATGCCAGCCGCACCATATCTGTAACAACAGTGGGCGGCCGCAATTCTTATCACACAGTTCATCGTTATGCTATCGAAAATCGAAATTCCAGAATAGGTTTCTATTTTTTTTTGTCTATTTTGAACCTTACGATACTGGCTCACGCTATCGAATGTCCCGAATTCGTAATGATCGTATATTGCCCCGTAATTTGTAAGGTCTAGCCAAGACACTAATGGCTTTTAGATTAGATAACAAAAAGTTACATGACTCGGAGCGAAATGTTGCAAAATAGCAGTCCAACCTTCCTAATGAAATCGTGGGCAAATAATTTTCTGTTGCATAACATCATGGTTGCAAAGAAACAACCAAGGTTAGCAGAATGCGAGATGCCGAGATGGCTTGCTAAAGTAGATGCAGACAAACAATATGTAGAAGACAGTCGCACATAATTCTAGCAATATGCATACAAGTTTAGCTACTGACAGCCAAAATAAAAAAATGGTGCAAACGTTATCCACCGAATGCTTAAAATTATTAACAATTGTTTTGTTAATTATCGCATAAAACTTGAATAAACACGTAAAATATTTGCATAGCTAAGCAAGTGTCATTTAACAAAAGACTATAAATATTCAAGGTTTTACAAATGTTCTCACGTTTGGAAGCCATTTCAAAATTTTAAGGCGTATTTCATTTAAGAACGAAAGATGGATTTGGCTTCCCGAGTTCGAATGACAAAAAATACCATGTGTAAATATTTTAAGCAAACTATGCTGTCCCTCACCGTTTCCTACCTTTTTTCCAAGTTATTTAATAAGAGCATTGTCTAAAAATATCTACGACTTTAGTACTTACTTTTGTATTATAGCTTTAATAACAAGATCACGGTGCGTTATTCCTACACATTACGTTAAAACTGTGACACAAACTTACAATGCCTTACCTGACACGTTTGCAAATTATATTTGCCTCCCATGACACAGTAATACGAGTAGGTACTTGTGATGTCACATTGCCGCGGCTGAATAATAATTAATGTCACTGCTTAGTTTTTTATTTTTTCCGTGATCGTCACATGTTTTCGTTTACCTACTTTGTAACACACACTAGCACACGTCCATCCATACGAAATTGTTGTGGCTAAATATGGAAAATGTAACTACAATGATTTTTTTAATGTATTTATTTTCAAGTTTTAATTATGGTTCGTAAGTAACATTTGAAACGTGATATTTTCAAATGTTACTTACGAACCATAATTAAAATCAACAAAACGACAGTTAAATGATACGAACGTAACCAAGCGTACAATTATATTCGCAACTACAACATTGTTCGTAAGTTAATATTGACATTGACCAAATTGGTTAACTGTGGCCTCGATTTCCACAAATATGTGCCGTTCCGACTTCAATGACCCCTAGTTTGTTAGATTTCTATAGGTCTTCACGATCAACTTAAACGGAGCAAGGATGTATAATAACAACTTTCTATTAAAAATATGTATTGTTTTTAATCATTGACTTACAATTATATGGACGTCGGGTCCGCGCTAAAAAGTGTCCGCACTTGTAAGGCGCTAAAATCGTATACAGAGCGCGACACTCCGCTTTAGTCTTCATTTGTTCTACTGACAGCGCGATACTGCGATGACATTACAATTTAAATTTCGAATAGGTTGACTTGGGACATTTTTTTCGTGGTTTTTGTATTAGACCCGTCGTCCATTTATTTGTAAGTCAATGTTTTTAATTTACTATTTCCCATGAGCTTTTAAAAAAAAAGAACAACGTCGTGATGAAACCTGCAACCACGAAGGTTCACAACCCTCTGAAAACGTATAAAGTCCCTGATCCGCATTGGATAAGGGTGGCGGACTATGGCCTAAACCCTTGCCAGAGAAGAGACTCGTGCCCGGCAGTGGGACGTATAAATGGGTTAATGATGATGATTAAAAGTATGTAAAATGATTGGGTAAAAAAATTACGCTGACCTCTTTGTTCACATTTTATTATTCATCTCTTTATTTATAAAATAGTAGACTGTCTTTCGTAAATTCATCGTGTCATATATATATATTATTATCGTATTATTGTAAATGTTGTATAAATGTAACACGAACAATGTGCCTTTAATTTGAAATAGAGGGAAGGAAATGTGGAACATCTTGCACTGAATTACACATCTAAATATGAACTTGTTATAAATACGCAAGTTTATAAATTAATTTATATTGTGTGTGACTGACTTAACCTTAAAAGGAGAGAAGGAGCCAAAGTTCTTAACTTGGGAAGTCCTCAGCTGAAGTTCTTAATGTCACACTACCTTTGTAATAAAATAAGGTGCTTTACGGCTCCTTGCCAAGCTTAAAGGGTTAACCATAAAACGGTATTATGGTACTTAATTTTATATACACAAAGCAATGAAATAAGCTTTAAACAGAAATTTACTACTTTTCTGATAAACTTTGCACAAATTCGCGGTAAATCATGATATATCCATTTATTGTTTTAAATGATAAGTACAGCACTTGATGGTAACGTTCACAGATTGGGTTTTCACACTTTTAGCCATTTCTGACATGCAATGTATAAAAGGAGATTACAAGCAACACGCTGTGTAACGCCTCGTAAAAACAACAAAATTATAAGCTGTGCTCCTGATTTAATGAACATTACGTTACATGTAACACATCACAAGTAATTATCTATGTGGACTTGAACCCTTTTCATAAAATTAAAAGAAACTTAAGTAGTATACAGGCTGTAACAATAATGCGTAGTCATATTTTGAGATTTCAAATTCGCCGTGACAATAAGCAGTAAAATTTTAAATCGAAAAATTCTCAATTATATTTTGTGTACCAGAGACGACTGATTTTGATGGAAAATGATAGGTGTAGGAAAATAAAATTTTAACGCAAAAAACAAATCCGGTAAAAGATATTCAGTTTTCATCAACACTGTCTTATCTGACATACATGACACTGTTGTTACAATCTGTATGAAAAGTTACTCGAGAAAATATCATAGAAGTCACAAGGGTCAACTGTCAGTGTCAATGAAAATCAAAATGGTGGGTGGATGCAAAATAGCAGCCGTGAATAACTTGCCTCGATTCGGCTGAAAATTAGCAAGCGGAGTTAAATATGTTTTATGGCTTTCAACAACAGTAGTTATTGTAGCCTCATGTAGTTTCATGAGTTTCATATTCTCTTCATCTTGGGATTACGTCATCAATGCAACGTAATCATGTAAAGTATGTAATTTCAAGTTTCGAATGCATCAAGATAACAATAGCAAGTCGTGTATGACCGGTTGTCCTTAAAACTAGATACATGTTACAATGGTGTGCTCAGTGAACAAATGATATGAAAAATCAACTTTACCTTATGAGGATTTTGAAGCCATACAAAAAGCTAATACGTTTGCATACAACTTAGCCTTGACGTATTTTAATTAAGTAATTTTTGTTTAATAACTGGCATAATAGATGGAGATTTAAACATTCTTAAGTTTATTGTTATTTAAAAAAACGGACCACAAATATGACAGAATAATCGCGTAACATACACACAAAAAATACAGTCGAATGAGGACTTTCTTTTCTTAAGTCGGTCAAAAAGAAAACTTTTTTTACCTTAGACCTCTGGGAGCTAGTAACTTATTTACTTTATAAGTGAAGTGACATTTGTAACTTGATAACATATGCATGAACGCATCATTCATTTCGTGGCACCAGCACCCCACGCCTGTACAAATTGTGCGTGCAATATCCGCATTGTAATCGATTGCATGTGAGATAGCTAATATCTTTCCAAATATCTATTGCAGTCTAAAGCTGGCACTTCAAAATCCTACTCCCTAATTTATTACCATAAAATTACAGACATTTTCATTACGTCTAATATAACCGAAATATTTTGATACATCAGCTATTGTAAAATTTACAAAGTCTATGGCATTAGAGGGCAATTCATCGTCCGTGTAACTGATTCTTTCCATTCAATCTACATAATAGCCCTTCGTTCGTTCGTGGAGAAATTGTGTACCAAATTGTTCCATTAAGGTCGTTTGTCTTGTCTTGCCATCAATCCTACTTCTACTAAATTGTTACGTTTGTTACTTGTAGAAAAATAATATGTAATTTGAATTCAATTGTGTTTAAATTGAAGAACAATAAACGATGTGTAAAATTAAAGAAACCAAACAAACTTCACTAATCCTGCTTTTGCAAATACTTTATCATTTTTCTTTACTTAATAAAACAGATAATGTAGACTTAATAGTTATATATGTATATGCATAAATTCAAATAATTTCCCTTTGTTTAATTATAATTTTCAAATATTTTTTTAAATTTATATCGTTGCCATTGCATGCTATGATGTTTCTTAAGTGTAAGGGCATTTAGTTTATAAGTCTAAATTATTAATTATTTTAATTTGTAGTTTTTTCCATATGCAATATCTTAAATAAACAAATATTCAATTTAATAATCGAATAGAAATTCAAATACGTTCTAAATTCAATGAATTCGAATGTCTTGCTCTGATAGCATGACCTAGGTAAGTTCT